ACTTTACATTTGGTTTTAGAGACGAAGAAACTTGCAGCAACCAAGTTTGTTCTGGAAGACAGAAGCAAGCTTTTGACGCAAGTGTTGTAATAGAGACTTATTAGCTATATGATTAGAAACAATAGCATTAGATGAGGACGAAACGTTAGAACATACTGAATTTAATCGTACAAGATACTGAAGTTATCTGACCAAACAAAATCAAGTTAATTCAAATCATGGTGGTTTGTGAGATAACATACACTGTGAAATTGATGCTTACCAAACTGAACATGGCAGTTGATCTCACCCATGACTGTTAGCACAACTCCAGAAGCATTCTTAGCGATAAGCTCTATTGGAAGAATCTGTGGGTACCCAACTGATACAGAAAATTAAGTTAATATTTGACGATTGAAGACGAACAGGTTTATCGTTAATAGGCAGCTAAACATACGTTCGTCTGCTGGCAAAATCGACTTTGAACGTTGTGTAAATGGTCTGTACCCGAGAGGATTGTCTCTCCTTGAAGGGACTATGTTTGTTTCTTGTATATTTCCAAACCTGTACGTCGGTGGCACAGCGGTAGGACGCACGCCGACCCCGCATTTGGTCCGGGGTTCGATCCCTGGCCGACACACTCCTTTACCTCGTCAAGCCAGTGGTAAAACTGGTAAAGAGGGAAGGTTGGGCATCGTGTTAGCAACCCCATCCCGTAAAAGTAAACATCACTGCTACCGAAACTTCAAGCCTGTAGCCTGAAGCTCTATGTTCGACTGGGAACATAAAGAAATTTTTAAAAAAATTGTCCAAACCAAGTTCACTTTTAACAATTAGGACAAATTGGGGTATTGGCTGTATGATATTCATTATTATCAAAGATTTTGTATTTCCCAATGAATGAAAAACAATGAAGTATAAACAGTTTTTGTTTTTCATTCATTAGGATATGCAAAATCTTTTATTGTTATGTTTTTCTTAATAGAAGGGTTTTTCTCTGTTGAACAGTGACCCTGTTTATGCCGAAAACGGTGACACTTGCAGCATTTATGTTTCTTGAATAGACAAAATCTGACAAAATGTCATGAACAGTAGTATCAGCACACTTATGGAGGCTTAGTGGAATTTTCAGACTGACGTTCTGCGTGCTTAACGGTGGCCGAAGTCTTGACTGCGTTAACTGGGCCAAATTCAGACGGCTGTGATTTGCGCCCCACCATACCATAGTAGTGTCATGCTTCAATTCGATTAAACGTTGGCATTCTCCGGTCACCATCTGTAAAGTCATTTTCGGATCCTCTTACAGTTTGTCAACTCATGCATCTTACCTATTCTTCTCTACTGTTCACTTCTGCTTGTTCTTTCCTGGATTGCTTAAAAGGGACTATGTTATACTTCGTAGAACTCTGAAGACTGTCAGTAGGGCGAGTGGTATCCCATTGGGCCATATCGTTGACATCGTCATTGATAGGCACTTGATTTGATGCAACAAATTCGCTAAATGAATTCAGTCAGACTCTGAGCACCCACTCTACCCGCAGCTCCAACCTTGTGTCTCCTCAGGTAAAACAAGAAGTCTTTTCAGAAGAATTTATGCACGTACGTCTAAGTATAAAAATTCCACTATACCATATTTGGCACGGACTTTATGTGATGAAAATATTGCTAGGCATGGACTAACTAACCTTCTTCGTACTAGTAAATCAACCATATTCTCCACCCTTATAACATCAACCTTTATTGTTATTCTACCTCTTATATATAATCCTCGCAGTTTTTTGTTTTTATTTGTTTATTTTCTCAAAAGTGTAAACATCATTTAAGCTGTGTTATGACTGTTAATTTTGCCTTTCCCCTCACTACACTATATCAACAGAACATTAGATTCAATAATCTATAACATGCTAAAATTTTCAAACTGAATCGCCAATACTGTTTGGAACAAACTCACTGTTATTATTATTATATTTAATATTCGCAATTCGTACCCCGAATATTTTTGAGTTTATATCGTAAATGTGGACAAATTCTTCTGGTTAATTTTGTTTTAATTTTTAATTACATTTTCTGAGTAAATCAGATGCAATATTGTGACAAATGCTCAGAATTCCATTCTGTGTATTATAAGTACTGTTTTTGGAATAAAGTAGACAACAGGAGTCGAGTTAGAATGTCAGCATCTTTAAGGCTCTTCAAACCACAAATAAAAAAACAAGCACTTGAACTGGTCTGATGTCATCTCGTGTGATTTGTATTTTTCACATTGCATGTTCACTTTGCTAGGATAAGTGACATAATCGTCGGAATATACTTTTGGTAACTGAAGACATTAGTACACTCAATTCTGAACATGGATGATTGTTCACCAAACACTTCTGAGATAAAATGGTGACTGTGTCATCGAATGAGACAGTTCACGTGAATTCTTTGGCAGAATAAAATTAAAATATTTGTTGTGCTCGACAGAACCAAGTTTTCGTTAAAATAATCGAACTTTCGCAGCATCATCGAACATGGTATATATTCAATACAAAAACGCCTTTGTAACGATTGAACTGTGAATCAATTACAAGGCCAGACTGTTGGCATTAGATGGTTGGAGGCAATCGGCAGGAAGCCTCGGACCTAGGTTTCGTGCTAGTTGGCACTCATCAACAAGGCGTGTCTGCAACCTTGAAGGAACTGATGTCCCTTCTGAGATTCGAACCCGCGTCACCCAGTGCTGAAGTCAGAGACGTTACCATTTAGCTATTCAGGCTCGCGATTGACCTCCTGTAGGACTGAATTGGATATTTTGGCGAGACACCTAGCATGGTGGCCACATTGCAAGCTTGACTGATAGAATTCAGTCTGCAGCCAAGATAAGTAAGATTAGATACATTACACTAGTTACTGACTAGTGTGCAATCAAAACAATACAAGGCCAGATATTGGATAATAAATTGAACTCACTAATAGAATTTGAAATACTTTCATGCTTACTTATCTGGTTGAGATGTCGAAAAGACTTGAACTGACAGCTTCTGAGCAAAGAACATAAGAAGAGAACCGATAATAGGTGAAAAGGTTCTTGGCGAAAAGGATAAGAACGTAGAACTCTTTGCATATTTCTGTGCCATCTAATGGAGGTGGCGTGCATAAGCACAGGGATATACACTAATCGACATGGACTTCACCTGACGGACACATCCGGAACCAGATAGTCTTCATTTCAATCCTGAGAAAGGGGGGACAGTCCGCAAAACACAAAATAGAGAATGGGTGTATATATGAGCTAAAACCATTATCTAGTACGAAGCACCTTCAGAGTAAAGCTGAAAGACTACACGGCGATTAAAGATAGGTAACCCAAAAACTGACAGGAAAAACTACAAACGACAACACCACAGGGATCAGATAGAAGTCGGAGACATTACGTAGAGATATGGAGCGGACCTGTGTCAAGACACCTTGGAAGTCTCTGAAAGGAATGTTGAAGGCAACTAGTACAGCCAGCTATTTTGTAAAAGACAACAGGCAAGACAAGCACAGATGAAACCAATTAAAGTCAGCGAAGACACCTAATCACCAAAGAGTAGATACAAATTAAACAACAGACTGATCATTTCAAACGACTGTTAAGCCCAACATCACCTATAACTCGTAGAGAAATACGACCCACAACCACAGAAATGTCAGTAAACACCAATCTCTCAACAAAAGCAGACGATTCCAGTGTCATAAAATTACTAGAAGGTGGCGGGAAAAGCGGCAGAACCACACGGAATTACCCCGGAAGCACTGTAAACGGACCCAGAGACCTCAGTCACCATCCTCACGCCATTATTACAGCAAGTTTGGAAGGAAAGGTTCCTACTGATTGGAAGGAAGGCTACATTGTCAGGTTACCAAAGAAGGGTGACATGGGACTATGCAACAACTAGTGTGGAATTATGTTCCTATACGCGCCAAGCGACTATTACGTCGCGTTATCCTGGAGAGACTGAAAGATGCTCTGCATGCAAAACTCCACCCCCGGACAAGCTGGATTCAGGAAAGGCGAATCGTACGCAGATCAAATTCAAACTCTACACATCACCATAGAACGGAGCTTAAAATGGAAGTCAAATCTCTATCCCAACCCCACCGACTTTGGAAATGCCTTCGACCGCGTCGATTGCAAAGCAGTTTGGAAACTAGTTCAATAATGCAGAGTGCCCAAATCCTCTGTTTATCGCCCTCATCCAATAGCCACATAGTAGCGCACACCTCAGGTGATCCGCAAATTGAGCGTATGAAGTGAAGAGAGGAGGAAGACAATGCTGGCTACTTTCACCGATGATATTCCTAATTTTGGTGAACTGGAATATGTGGGAGACTGTGAGCAGCGAGACTCTAGAAGATGTGGATTTGGCGGACGATTTATGTCTAACGTCACACAAGTTCGATTATTTACAGGGGAAAACCGACAAGTTGGCAGAGGAGGCTGGAAGGGAAGACATAACTTCAAGTAAACATAGCGAAGGCGGAGGTGATGAAGACAACCAACCAACAACAATAACAAGCACCAACCACTATCGACGGAAGAAATTTAAACGAGCTAACTTCTGCCACTTACTTAGGCAGCATCGTTTCAACTACAGACAGCACGGAGACTTAGCACATCACGAAAATCATTTCCAATAGCCTGATGAAGATGGAGATGTGCAGTTAAAGCTTTATGTTTCACTCGGATCCCAGGGGAATAATAAAAATCATAGTAACAACTGCAATATAATGTTTGAGTGTCGCTTATTAAATGTAACCACTTGGGTCATGTACAGGTTTGCAAAAGTCTGCTTCGGAGAAATGACTCAGTCGGGATGATGTTTCGAGATATCAAGAGAAGAACACCTTGGGAGGCACAGATTTTGCAGCTGACTCACGCCATATTTTCCACACACACACACACACACATTCGAAGAAGTATGAATGAAATCGAACAAGTTGACAAGAGGGGCAGAGAAGACAGGAGTCTCAGGCGAATACAGAGAACGCAACCACATGGAAATATTGATGTATTTATAGTAGTGATAATGATAGTGTCATTAGAGAATATTTTATTACTATTCGGTCACTTTTGGCGTTACAAGTGCTACTTAATAGAAAAATAAAACAACAATCGATGAAACTCATCAAATTTTGAGTACAAAATGAAAGTGAATATTGTGTAAGCCAATGGAGGAAAAACTAGGAGAAAAGAAACAGAAACAATGAAATTTACATGTGATGTTAGTTAATTTCGCCACCTATCCCCAACCGCCTTTGCTTTCAACTATCAATGTGTATGCAAACAGATAAAATAAGTTTAAACTTGGATTCCAAAAATAGTGATGTATGCATGTATATAACGCTCAAGACAGTTTGATGGTTTAAGTTCTATGCATGAATTTGGAGAAGCACCCACACACACACACACACACACACACTAACACTTGTGTGTGAAATGACATGGAATTCAAAGAGTCAACCGAAAGTGGTGTACAGAGAAAAGCGGAACAAGGAAACTAGCAAACTGGAGAGATTAAGATTAAGAAAATGTAAGAAATTATTTGGGGTAATTATTAATTGAAATGGGTTGTTGTTGTTGTTGTTGTTCTTGTTACTGTTGTCGCTTTTCGATAAAATTAGGAGGAAAAAGCAGAACAGAACAGAACAGAATATAACAATTTTTCACGAGATGTGAGTACATTTCTCGGAATTACACACCAGTAGTAGTATTCATTTATTAAGAAATTCACTTAGTGCACACATGTCAAGAGGAACAACAAGGAGATTTTAGTGCAACGAAACAGAACAAAAATGACGGAGATAAAATAATAGTAATTCAATAGTAATTCGCTCAAGTATATTAAATGGAGTAGTTATGCCGATTACTCTGTAATCAGTCAAGTGAGCAGGTGAACAAGACACCTGTGTGTGTGTGTATGTGTGTGTGATCAGATTGCGATGAATCCACAGAGCTAACCGATGAATTTATTAAGAAGTCAATGTTCAACGGCCAAATGTGTTTAACAAAGGCAACAGAATAAGTAAACACACACACACACACAAAGATATATCTATGTACAAAACTAAGATCTATTCAGGAATCCACTCAAACAAACAAAAATAGCATTGATTCCATTGAATTCAATCTAAGCAATTGTTATAAGTGGCATAGAATGTTGTTCCTTTTGTTGTTTCGGTTGTTGTTGCTGTTGCTGTTGTTGTTCTGGAGGTGGCGGTGGTTGTTGACCTTCAAATGTTGCGGTTGACGACGACGACGATGATGATAAAGATGACGTATTCTCACCAATTTCATTATCACAATTAGTCACATTAACAACTGAATTGGTCAACTGTTTCCCATTACCAGATATTGATTTTATTGTATTCTGTAGTAGCACTGCCTTATCATCATTATCAGGATTCTTTGCTCCACCATCATCACTATTATGCTTATTAATTGAATTACTAGGATAATAACAATAATCAACTCCAGCTGATATATCCATCTTCTGATGTAATTCAACTCCTTCATTATTAATATTATTACTGTCGTCGTGTTTAGCTATGGTGAATAATGTAGACTTGTCAGTATAACAACTTGATTGATTTGGAAGAGTTTGTTGTTGTGATGACGAATCACTTACTTTATTGTCATATTCATCTAGTGTGCATGATGAGGTTTCAATGCATCGTTCACGTTTAAATATACTTAAAGTACCTTTAGCTTTATTTTCATGTAAACTATATAAAAAAAAGAGAGAGAAAAAAAAAAGAAATTGAATTAGACAGTGTCTTGTTTTACTAAAACGTAAGGCAGACATTATTGTTATTTATTATTATGACAACCACATTATTGTTTCTTTGGGATAAAATGTGAAAACTCTGGTGGGGACTATGTGTGATATGCATATTACTGGGCTATACTGTCTTTCTACTTGAGAATCTCTCCTCACCTACCTGCATTCCGAGTGGAACAAAGGGATTCACACTTGACCCTTAAAGTTTCAATCACTTTGGTGTTGTTTTTACTGTACGAGGTGGTGATAGTCTCACTCCCAACCTTTTGCTCTCTACCGGGCTGACTACTGGATAGGCAATGATTAGGAGTGCTTCGGCCAGGAATCGAACCTCGATCATATGTGTCTGAAACACGCAGTGCTTTATGATATTGCATGCCTTCTTTGCGCGGTGTCGTGCTAATTTTTCCCGTATTGTTCCAGTTTTAGTAAATATATATATATACATATATATATATATATATAAATATCATAAAATTATGGTAGTACAGAATACAAAAATACCCTATGATCAATATGACACTTGAAAGCGAGGAAAGCAATGAACTCCGAGGGCTTATTTGGTGAGCAAAGACATATTAAGTCAATTCAGACGTTTATTTTGTAGGCTATTCCACGAAACAACGTCGAGTAGACGACTATCAAAGTATGTTGGACATATATTTCACCCTCGTCTTCGACTCTTCAGCAGTATGCACTTATGTTTCCATAGCTTTAAGGCTACCGGCCGATTATGTATACCAACCAACTACTTTTAAGTGTTCGTTTGTAGCGATTTGATTGGTTACAGGATTTTCATCATGAGCTGACATTAGTTAGAGAACCACTGGAAAACCTGGGAGTACTGGACAACTGTTTCGTCCTAGTTTGAGACTCTTCACAGTAGGCACCCACGGTAATTCCTGACCAGTAGGGTGCAGCAGGTAGCCTGTGAGTTTAAATATTCGCCACTGGAAAACCTGGGAGTACTGGACAACTGTTCCGTCCTAGTTTGGGACTCCGCCTCGGCATTATGCATCACCGAGGTCCAAGCCCAGGTACTTCTGGTCACAGGGCGAGCTAGCTCGTAGAACATTGAGCCACTGGGACCCGATCCAATGGCCAGCCCATGAATTCTATTATTATTATTACTGTTCCCTTGGGTTCCTAGTGGAACATAGGGCTTCAACTGCACGTCTCCACTTGCTTCTGTCTTCTGCTGTTCTTTTCACTTGCGTCCATGTTATTCCATACTGTTTCATCTCCTCCTCACACGATCTCCTCCATGTCACCGTTGGACGTCCCACTCGCCGCTTCCCTTTCGGGTTCCACTCGAGCTATGTCCTGACGCGCGATGTCACTCAACGGCCTCCTCAGCGAGTGTCCAATCCATCTCCACTTCCTCCTGCATATTTGTTGGGCGATTGGTTCCTGTTTCGTTTGTTCCCATAGCTTCTTGTTTGTGATTCTTTCCGGCCATCTTATCTTCAGTATGGAGCGAAGACAGTTGTTGATAAAGGTCTGCAACAGGCTGTTGGAAATATTCTTGGTGACCCGCCAAGTTTCTGATCCATATAGAAGAATTGACTTCACGTTTGTATTGAAAATCCGTATTTTGTTGTTGATGCTGAGTGACGAAGATTTCCAGATTGGTTTCAGGTTGATGAATGTGTTTCTCGCCTTACCGATTCTCGATTTGACATCCTCGTCCGTTCCTCCTGTGGTTGAGACAATGCTCCCTAGATAAGTGAATGAAGTAACCTCTTTCAAATCCCTCCCGTTGATGGTGATTGGCACTGGATGTTGCTGCTGCTGTTGTTGTTGGTTGGTTATTTTCATGACCTCCGTCTTGTCTATGTTCACCTGCAGTCCTGTCTTTGCTGCTTCTTTGACCAGTTTGTCGGTTTTCACTTGTAAGTCTTCGATTTTGTGTGACATCAAACATAAATCATCCACGCGCGAAATCCAGGTTTTCTAGGTTCTTCACGTCCGTCCAGGGTATCCCTGTCTTATCGTTTCCCACTGTCTGACGCATAATCCAGTCCACCCCCAATTAGGAATATCATTGGTGATAATAAGCACCCTTGTCTGACTCCTGTGTTTACTCGAAACGCCTCGCTGAGTTTTCCGTTGTGGATCACTTGACATGTGCCGTTGTCGTACAGTTGTTGAATAAGGTTGATGAATATTTGGGGTACGCCGTAGTACTCGGGTAGTTTCCAAATTACTTCACGGTCAATGCTGTCGAAGGCCTTCTCAAAGTCTATGAAGTTGAGGTAGAGATTTGATTGCCATTCCATGCTTTGTTCGATGATAATGCGTAGAGTTGCAATTTGGTCAGAACATGATTTGCCTTTCCTGAATCCAGCTTGTTCTGGTTGGCGGAGTTCTGTATCCAGTGCGTCCTTGATTCTCTCCAGGATGATGCGACTCAGGATTTTACTTGGCGTCGACAGGAGCATGATTCCTCGCCAGTTCTTGCAGAGTCCCAGGTCGCCCTTCTTTGGTAGTTTCACGAGGTAACCTTTTCTCCAGTCAGTAGGCACCTTTCCCTCTTTCCAGATCTTTTGCAATAATGGAGTCAGCATATCTGCTGTCGTCTCTGGGTCCGCTTTCAGTGCTTCCGGGGGTATTCCATCTGGTCCAGCTGCTTTTCCAGCTTTCAGAAGCTTGATTGCATTGATGACTTCAGTCTTCGTTGGAGGATTGGTGTCAACTTGCAGTTGTGTACGTGCTGTTGTTGGTATTTCTGGACGGGTTGTAGGGGGTGGTCGATTCAAAAGTCCTTTGAAGTGGTCCGCCCATTGTTTAATCTGTCTTTCTTCCTTGGTAATTGGGTTCCCTTGGCTGTCTTTTATAGGTTTCACTTGTGTTGATCTCTTCCCGGATAGAGACTTGGTTATCTGATATAGTGTCCTCAGGTCCCTTTCGCCTGCTGCCTTCTCAGCTTCAGTAGCCAGGTTGTCGTAGAATTGTCTTTTGTCCTTCCTGGCACTCTTCTTCACTTCTTTGTCCAGTGCTGTGTAAGTTGAGTTCAGCGTCTCTTTCTCTTGTCCATCTTTGCATTGAATCATTTTTTCTTTCACCTTTCTCCTCTCCTCTATTAGTTTCCAAGTGTCTGTTGAGAGCCATTCCTTGTCTTGTTTCTTCTTTCTTCCTAAAACCGTTGAGCACGTTTCGTTGAAAATTACCTTCAGAGAGTTCCAATGGTCTTCCACGGATGATTCCTCGGTGGTGCCACGTAGTGTTTCCTGCTTTGCTCTGACAGTTGCAGTGAAAGTGTCCTTTGTGGTTGTGTCTTTCAGTTTTTGCGTGTTGAACTTGCATTGTGGCCTATCCCCAGGTATCCTCGAGGCTTTCAGCTTCACCTTGAAAGTCCCTTGTACTAGATAGTGGTCTGAACCCACATCTGCTCCTCTCCTCGATCTTGTGTCCAGTAGGCTCCGTCTCCACTTCCTTGAGATTGAAATGAAGTCTATCTGGTTTTTGGTGTGTCCATCTGGTGAAATCCATGTTGCCTTGTGTATATCCCTGTGTTTGAACACACTGCCAGCAATCACCAAATCATTAAAGGCGCAGAAGTCTGAGAAGAGTTCACCATTTTCGTTCATTTCACCGAGGGCCTCGCGACCCATGGTGAGTTCTCTTCCTGTATTGTCTCCTCCCAGTTTCGCATTCATGTCGCCCATCAGGATTTTGATATCGCTCTTTGGGACGTTGTCCATTACTGTTTGTAGTTGACTGTAGAAATCCACCTTCTTCTCATGTTCTGAGGCGTTTGTAGGCGCGTAGCACTGAATGTTTGTAACCTTTTTTCCTTTTGAGTTGAACCTGGCTGTCATTATCCTGGAGGAGATTGGTTCCCACTGCATGAGAGCTTTAGCCGCTGTTGGTGACATCATGATGGCTACTCCCTTGGTGTGCTCGTGATCGTCCTCTGGGTGACCGGAGTAGATTATTGTCTCTCCAGTTGATAGTTGGCTCCTTCCACATCCGTTCCATCTGCTCTCGCAGATTCCCAACACTTCTATTCCATATCTCCTCATTTCTGCGGCTACCTGAGCAGCCTTCCCAGCTTCGTACATTGTACGAACATTCCACGTCCCCATCCTTATTTTTGCTTTCATCGAAAGAAGGCACATCGGCTGACTGGCTTCCCGAAGGCTTTCACCAGCCTGCGTCATTTCACTTCCCCGATTCCAGCGAAAAATAAGGTCACTATTTGTAATTGTAGAATTTTGAATATATTTGTGTGTTGAAGTTTTAGTAGCAATTTGGTTAGATTTTGGGGGTGGAGTTGCTAGCACCACGCTCCAACCCTCCCTCTTTATCCGGGCTTGGGACCGGCTAGAATACTAGTGACCTAGTAATCTAGGCTAATTGATGACATAGCGCGACTATTTCGCAATGTCTTCTTCTATGAGTTACTGTCTCATCTTCAACCTGCTGTACCCTATTGCTCACGGCTTCCCACTAGAACCCCAGATCACTGCCTGAATAAGGCCGGTCGCTAGAGAGCATCAGATCAAGTTAGAATTCATGGGTTCGAAACTCGGTGGGTGCGTACTAGGGAAGAGTCCCAAACTAGGACGAAACAGCTGTCCAGTACTCCCACGTTTTCCAGTGGTTCTCTAAATGATGTCAGCTCATGATGAAATCCTGCACCCTGAATACTAAGCATTATAATGAATGCTTTCTTTACCGAAACAGAACAATTTATTTGGCTTCTTGCTATATTCACTGAAATTGTGATTTATGGTTTGTCTATATTTCAGTAGGACAGTGTTCCTACTGGGATTGGAATTCTGTACTAGTCTAGTCATAGCCTAAAATCATAGAGTATAATGTGTTAAATTATCTTAGTACGCACTGATTTTTTCTATTCAACAGGGCAAGTATGTTACTAACCTGGGCTGTTGTTATAATCTAACTAAGAGGTATTTTGTTTCGCTAAATCAGTACTAACTCGGACTTACGTCCAGAATAAAACAAGAACTACACGGAGTATAGTAATAATCTTATATTATTAGGATAACTGAAATTCAGACTTTCATTCCGTCAGTCAGATCAGAAGCCCATATATATACATATGTATACTATTAAAATAGTTAACACACAATCCACTCAATTTTTATAATCTTGAAACAAACTGAGACCATCGAGCACTGATAAATGTACATCTAGTCATAGTCACATTGGGAGAAACAATGCCACTAGAATAAATACGATCGACAC